ACTATTTAAGGTTACTGACGATGAGCTAGAGTTGGTGACTACGGTCGGTATCCGCAGGTCTAATAGAAAATCGACCAGATGTCCCAACTTCAAGCTGAGATGGATGTTGTCAAGGCCTAGACCGATGAATGGAGAGGCAGGATGGATCGTCTGGCCTCGAAAAAAGAGACTGCTCGGGCGCAACTGACCTCGGCTGAGACCCAACTTCAAGCGGCAAAGGAAAAGGCCGAGGTGCAGTCTAAAAAGATTGAGGAGCTCCAGTCTCAGCTAAGTGCGGTTGTCTCTGATCGAGAAAATCTTGCCAAGGAGCTCGAAACGGCCAAGTCGGTGGTCTTGGTGGTTAAAGCTGATGCCGACGAGATGGTGGCCCAATATAAGGCCGATGCCGAGGCAGCCCAGGATCGAATTAAGGATATCATCGAGCAATTGAAGCGGCAATCCCATAGGGAGGCCCTCTGGGAGATTCATGCTCGGGGTTTCGACTTATCGGCCGAAATGGAGAGCGCTAAGAAGCTCGAAGATGAGGGCAAGAAGATGGATTATCCCGAGGATGAAGAAGGCTCCGAGGGTTCGAGCGGATTCGAGGGTAGAGGAGTCCGAAGACCTAGGCGACGAGGCGGGCTCTGGTGAAGACCAGGCCGTTTAAGTGCCTTGTACATTCTTTGTTTGTTTTTTGTATTTTTTTACTTTTGTACTTTTTTGTCAAGGCTGTTTGGCCTTTGTAAAGACTGTGTATATATAATACAAGGCTTCCTTTTCCCTTCAACAATTACTGAGTTTTGTTTTCCTTTGCTTTATTCTTTATTTTTGCAAATATCGAAATGCCTTAGCATGAAATAGTTAGGTCATGTTCGGAGGTTCGAACAAGCCTTTCCTTCGACATTATTTTGTTTAAATCATCGTGGGGGTTCGGTATGACTAGAACTTTTCCCTAAAGTACTTATAATTTTTTAGATTATAGTTTGCCGAGAGTAGACTTTAGAACCGGTTAAGAAATTTTTCAAGTCCTTATTTTTTTTTGTTATGGGTCTCGGACGTCTTCGAGACGTTTTAATATGGTCATAGCCTTTTAGTTCGGGTGTTGCCCAGTGGGCTTTTCACCTCGAGCTATCCGTACTTGCCTATGATAACAGTCCCCGAATAGGGATGGTCGTAGCCTTTAATATTCGGGCGCTGCCTAATAGGTCTTGTGCCCCCATGATCTGATAGCCAGGGCCATCTGAGTTTGTCTTTGGACGGCAATCCCGGAGTTGGGGTGATCGTTCGAACCCGAATAAAGGAGGCCCTTGGGTTCGGTGCCTTTAGGAGATCGGATGTAGAATATTCCTTAAGAGAAAAAAGGAAATTTATTTAAGGGGCAAGATATTTATCTGCAAGGTAGAGACTTCTTTTTATTTTTGTGCGTAATAGTTACACATGTGTACAAGCTTTGTGTCAGGGCTCGAGCAGTCTATGTGGGCATGATTCATTTGACTGTTTTGCCCTTACAGTAAGTCATATCGATTAAGCCGAGACCATTCAATCAAAAAGCTTCTTTCCTTGCAAAAGTCGTTGTCCGAGGGTGATGCCCCCAGTGTTTGGGGCCGATCGTAAAGAGGCCTCGAATACTGTTGTCATGATCTCCGATACCGATTCATAACCGGCCTTCAATTCTAAGTTAGCACGATTTACTGTTGTATCATTAAAAACCTTGTTGGATAACCCATTTGGGACAAAACCGGTTCAAGGGAAAAAGAGTGCAACGCGTGCTTTCAGGCCTAAAAATTATGTCGTTCTTTGACGGTCGCCTGCAAGTGTTAGTTCAAAATGCAAATAAGTAAAAGGAATGAATGGGGTCGTACCTTAGAAATAATATCTCTTTAAGTGAATTATGTTCCAGTTGTTTGGTAGTTGCTCACCATTTATTGTTCCGAGTTTGTACGATCCCTTACCTGCGATTTCGATAATTTGATAAGGACCCTCCCAGTTCGGTCCCAACTTCCCTTCATTCGAGTTCCGGGTATTTAGCATGACCTTCCTTAACACCAAATCCCTGATATTAAAATGTCGAAGGTTAGCTCTTCGATTGTAATACCTCTCGATCCGCTGCTTTTGGGCGGCCAACCGAACAAGGGCAGCTTCGCGCGTTTCATCTAATAGCTCCAGGCTTGTATTCATGATCTCGTCGTTTGATTCCTTGGATGCATATCGGAACCTGAGACTTGGTTCTCCGACTTCAACCGGTATTAGAGCTTCGACACCGTAAACCAACGAGAACGGGGTGGCCCCGGTACTGGACTTCGAGGTCGTACGGTATGCCCATAGGACTTCAGGCAGGATTTCCTTCCATTTTTCTTTGGCGTCGGTTAACCTCTTTTTGAGGTTTTGCAGTATGATTTTGTTGGTTGATTCTGCTTGTCCGTTCCCACCAGGGTGGAAGGGTGTTGATAGGATCCTTTTAATCTTATGGTCTTCGAGAAACTTGCTCACTTTGTTGCAGATAAACTGTTTCCCATTGTCGCACACGATCTTGGTCGGCATTCCGAACCGATATATAATGTGATCCCAAATGAAATCGATGAATTCTTTTTCTCTGACCTTCTCATATGCCTGGTCTTCCACCCACTTAGAAAAATAGTCAGTCATAAATAATATAAATTGAGCCTTATCGGGTGCCCATGGAAGGGGTCCGACGATGTCCATTCCCCATTTCATGAAAGGCCATGGCAACAAAACTGAATGCAGCAGCTCCCCGGGTTGGTGAATCATCGGAGCATGTCTTTGCCATTCATCACATTTTTGTACGAACTCCTTCGCGTCCTTTTCCAAATTGATCTAGTAATAACCCGCTCTGATTACTTTTCGAACCAATGATTTGGCACCCGAATGATTTCCACAGGTACATTCGTGTATTTTCCTCAGAACGTACTCGGTATCACCCTATCCTAGACATATAGCGAGTGGGCCATCGAATGTTCTTCTGAACAGGGTTCCATCTTCGGACAAACTAAATCGGGTTGTCTTCTACGCAGGGCCCTCGATTCTTTTGGATCCGAAAGCAATTTTTTGGCCTTCAGATATTCTATATATTTGTTTCTCTATTCCCAAGTTAGGCTCGGTGAGTTAATCTCGGCATGTCCTTCTTCCACTACCGATATCATGAGCTGGACGATTATCCCCGATTTGAACTCGTCGTCCTTGACCGATGATCCTAAGTCAGCAAAGGCATCAGCCTCACTATTTTGATCCCGAGGTACGTGTTGCAAAGTCCTCTCCTTGAACCGATGTAATGTTACCTACAACTTATCCAGGTACCTTTGCATTCGTTCTTCTCTGACCTCGAACTTCGATCACCTCCGCTCCCAAGCTTTTGCCTAGTTCGAGACCTACAATCATGGCCTCATATTCGGCCTCCTTGTTAGTCAATTTCACAGTCCTAATAGATTGTCTAAACACATTTCCTGTTGGTGGCTTCAATACGATGCCATGTTCGGACCCTTTTACATTCGAGGCACCGTCTGTAAAGACGATCCAAATCCCCGAGGACGTCCCTGAGTTCACCAACAACTCTCTTTCAACCTCGGGTATTAGAGCCGGTGTAAAGTCGGCCACGAAGTCCGCCAATATTTGAGATTTAATGGCCGTCCGGGGTTGATATTCAATATCGTACCTGCTAATCTCTACAGCCCATTTGGTCAATCGTCCCGAGAGCTCGGGTTTATGCATTATATTTTGCAATGGGTAAGTAGTCACAACACATATAGGATGACATTGAAAATATGGTTTCAGCTTTCTAGAGGTGCTTAGCAAAGCGAGCGCCAATTTTTGTAGGTGAGGGTACCTATTTTCGGCCTCACCTAGAGTCCTGCTAACATAGTAAATTGGAAATTGCGTACCTTGCTCTTCCCGGACCAGGACTCCACTTACCACTATCTCTGATACTTCCATGTATAGGTATAGTTGTTCGTCTGTCTTTGGCGTGTGAAGCAGCAGTGGGCTTGATAGATACCGCTTGAGTTCCTCCAAGGCCCGTTGGCACTCTAGGGTCCATGAGAAGTTATTCTTCTTCTTCAATAGTGAGAAGAATCGATGGCTCTTATCTAAGGACCTCAAGATGAATCGTCCCAGGGTGCCTATGCGTCCAGTTAATCTTTGCACGACCTTCACATTGTCCACAACCGTGATATCTTTGATGGCTTTGATTTTGTTGGGGTTGATCTCAATTACCCGGTTAGATACCATGAATCCGAGGAATTTACCTGATCCAACTCCAAACGCACATTTCTCCGGGTTTAGCTTCATATTGTATTTCTTCAATATGCTGAAGGTTTCCTACAAATGTTTTAAATGGTCTTCTGCTCGCCGGGACTTAACCAACATATCGCCAATGTAAACCTTCATTGATTTTCCTATTTGTTCCTCCAACATCCGGTTTACTAGGTGTTGGTAAGTGGCATCGGCGTTATGCGATCGATGTTGAGCAAAGGGAAGGAGTCCTTGGGACATGCCTTATTCAGATCCTTATAGTCTACACACATTGTTAATTTATTCTCTTTTTTAGGGACTACCACTATGTTTGCTAACCAATCCGGGTATTTAACCTCCCAAAAGGACCCTATTTTAAGGAGTTTAGATACCTCATCCTTGATGAGAGCACGTTTGACCTCGGATTGGGGCCTCCTCTTCTGCTTGACCGGGTGGAACTTCGGGTCCAGGCTTAGCTTGTGAGTGGTTATCTCCGGCGGGATCCCTATCATATCAAGGTGGAACAAAGCAAAACAATCTTCGTTAGCTATAAGAAATTGAATGAGTTTTTTCCTAAGCTCGGAGCTTAACCCCTTGCCAAGGTATACCTTTTGATCAGGAAAATATTTGGTTAGTACGACTTGTTCCAGTTCCTAGACCGTTGATTTTGTATCGTCGGAATCATCGGGGGCTATGAAAGATCTGGGGGCTCTATAGTCGTCGTTCTCATCTACTCTTCATTCCTCCAATTCTGTTGAGCCTGATATATGTGATTGCTATTTGGTCCCGTCTTTGACAATATGATTCGGATCCTCCGATGTCGAGAGTGTGGATGCTGGGATCACCTCATCAACTGCAAACATCTCCTTGGTGGCCGGTTGTTCCCCATAAACTGTTTGGACTCCTCCGGGTGATGGGAATTTCAGCACTTGGTGCAGTGTCGAGGGTACTGCTCTCATGTTGTGAATCCATGGCCTCTCGAACAAAGCGTTATATATCATATCCCCTTCGATTACATAGAACTTGGCTTCCTGTACGGTTCTAGCAACGTTCACCAGCAATGTTATCTCCCCTTTAGTGGTCTCGCACGACATGTTAAGCCCGTTCAGGACTCAGACTGCAGGTACGATCTGATCTTTTAGGCCGAGTTGTTCCACGACCCTCGATCTGATGATATTGGTTGAGCTACCTGGATCAATAAACACACGCTTAATTCGAGATTTATTTACGAGTACCGATATTACGAGTGCGTCATTGTGGGGCTGCACGATCCCCTCAGCGTCTTCATCGTTAGAAGACAAGGTTCCTTCCGGTACATAATCCCGAGTCCATTTTTCTCTTGTGATGGATACTGTGGTGCGTTTCAGCATCGGACCCTGGGGAATGTCGACTCCACCAATGATCATGTTAATGACCTGCTGAGGCTCTTCATGCGCGGTCTACTTATTAGAATCCATGTTCCTAAAATGGTTCTTGGCCCAATCACTCAAAAATTCTCGGAGATGCCCGTTGTTGAATAGCTGCGCCACCTCTTCTCTTAATTGTCAGCAGTCTTCCGTTATGTGGCCATAAGTGCCATGATATTTGCACATTAGGTTGGGATCCCTTTGGTATGGATCAGACTGTAAAGGTCTAGGCCATTTGGTATCTTTGATGCATCCGATGGTGGATACATTAGCGGCGGCATCGACGTTAAAGTTGTACTCCTATAATCTCAGTGCTTCTTTAGGCCCGACGGGCCTGTCGAAGCTATTTTTTCTCATGAGTCCCCGGTTGCTCTGACCTCGATCACTTATCTTTTCATTTGTCATAGAGTTCCGCCCAGACCCACTGCTTCTTCGGTCTCCATTGTATGGCTGATACCGATACCTGTTTGATCTCGGTTCATGATCGATGTCTCTCTTGACTCTGTCCATGGTTCTGACGGGATATACGGACCCGGAAGGGGACCCAAGCTGATCATGTTCGACCCTGATTTTCGATTGATATCGGTTATGGACATCGGCTCAAGTGATAACCGAATATTCTACCAAGTTTTGTTTTAACAACTGTGAAGCCAACGAGCTCCGAACGTTGAGTCCTTGGGTGAAAGACTGAACGGCTCAATACTGAATATATGAAATGATCTCAAGGATCGAATACTCAATACTGTTTGATTAATAATTAACAGTACAATAAAATGGAAAGACTCCAAGGGACTGTGATGGCCAAGCAGCTCTAACTTGAATCCTTGCAATCACACTCTAACTCTGTCCGAGTCCGATATCTCTAATACCTGGCTCTGCACAAAAATGTACAGAAGTGTAGTATGAGTACACCATAGTCGGTACCCAGTAAGTATCAAAACTAACCTCGGTGGAGTAGTAACGAGGTACAGTCAAGACACTCACTGTCTAATAACCTGTGCAATATAGTATACAAAAATAATAGAAAAACAAATAGCAGTGATAGCAAAAATAATCAACTAGTGATGTAAACAGCTCAAATCTATCCAAATTAATTGTATAACTTCATTAAAATTTATCGGAATCAATTCTGGATAATAAAACGTCGACTTAAAATTTTATTCTAAAAATTCAACCAAAGTCAACGCGGGGCCCGTCTCTCGGAACCCGACATAAGTTTTACGAAATCCGAAAACCCATTCCGATATGAGTTCAACCATACCAATTTTATCAAATTTCAATAACAACTCGACCTCTAGATCATAAATTTTTGTTCTTGAAAGTTTTTCCAAAAAACTTATTTTCTTCCATTTAAATCCGAGTTAAATGATGAATATAACCATGGATTTATGAAATATAATCACTTTCGGATATAGGACACTTACCCAAGCTGGAATTTGGAGGAAGAGAACAGTGGTGTTGGAGCGTGAAAGATTGTGGAATTTAGGTGGTAATTTAAGGTGTTTCCATGGTAGTGATACCGTGTGTACTCAATGAAGAAGAAAGACCCCAAAAATAGATTGTGAATCCATGATCCTATGTGCTGTCGCGGCTGCTAGTTAGTTCTTTAAATTAAATTCTGAATCTTCCGAAAACCAAACTCGACAACACACGCGTGCCATAATACATATTACGAAGTTGCTCGAGGCCTTAATTCGCTGAACGGGACGTAAATTCTTAAAATGACAAGTCGGGTCGTTACATTCTCCCCCTATTAAAATATACATTCGTCCTCGAACGTGCCAAGAATTATTTTGAGGACATTAAATTACTGAGTGTATTTACTGCACACATACTCGCGGGTGATCCTATATCACCACAAACTTAAGATGGGCTCGACAACACCGTCTCAGTTGAGATTATTTCTTTTATCCTCCTTTATGCACTTAAAAAAATCAACTCGTTACACTCTAAATATTTTCAAAAGGCCTTATTATCACATCAACGCATGGTATTAGTTTCACCTGTCTATAGCAACTCGTGCCTACGCACACATCATACGTATGTCCATAACCATATCTCTAATCATAGTAGCTGTTTATAATTAATTTCACCATCCTCAATTAATCTCATCTTAACCAAAATATCATATCTAATTTTCACAGAACTGACGACAACACGCGAGGCATGAAGACCTCATAATTATTTACTCAGATTAACGAGTCACACTTAACGCCACCTGGGCATTCACCTCGTAGGCTAAAACTCAATAATTACAGCATAATTATAGCACAGAAAACACATAAAAGAATTATCACATAAGCCTATCAGGCATGACTCCATATTAGTGCTATAGTACAAATTTAATTTCACAAAGGGAGAATTTAAACTCATAAAATTTTCATCACAAGGACCTCGTCCTTATATAACTTTCACCGCGACTTGTAGCCCAGTTTAAATATTTCACATCATATAAAAATGTGAGGATCTCATCCTCAACTCCGAATCACGAACTAAAATTTTCAATTTCCTTTCTTTCTTCTTTTCAATAAATTCCGTAAATATTTTTTTTTTCACAACACATAACGAACCCCATACCAATAGGGCATATAATTCATAAAATTAAAATCAATTATTCCGAAATCATATCAAAACCCACTACAGAGAGTATTAGAAAGTCACTTTTGGACTTACAACCCTCAGTAGTGTACAAAATAAAAATAATAGATACGGGCTAACATCTTCAAATCTCCAAACAGGGTTAAACATATAAGTGGGTCACAAAATTATGAAGCTCACCCATAAGCGGAGCATAATAGGAGGACTCACCTTAGTAGTCAGAACCAAATCAAATTAAGAAAAAATATCCTTTTATAACAGATCTGGATCATACCTGTAACGACACCATCTGGTGTAGTGGCCTCAGCCACACCATAGAAATTATATCAACGGGTTGGGCCTCCTCCTCTAGGGCTCCCTTTAACTGGCTGTGCACGTGGGGTAGTAACTACATTGAGGCCCATAGCTTGAGTGTTCTGATAAAATCCAACTCTCCCAAGTCTGGGACAATCTCTCATGATGTGCCTAGTATCACCACACTCATAACAACCCTTCTGAGGTTACGGCTGCTCGTACTAAGTCTGTGCCGGATAACTGGAATAACCACTGTAAGAATTTTGTGTCAGTGGTGCATTATAAGAACTTACTGGAGCACCCCGAGTAATCTGATGTGCAGACTGAGCTAGCCGACTACTCGAGCCTCCGTCATAATGGGTCATAGATGAAGAGTAAAATCCACTGAACCCTCCAAAGCTTCGAGACATGTTGGTCTCCTTAGACTCTTTTTCCTCACTTAGAACACCCTTAATCCTCCTCGCAATCTCCACTACTTGCTGAAATGGAGTATCCGTTTGCAACTCTTAAGCAATGCATATTTTAAGATCATAATCAAGCCCCTCAATGAATCTGCAGACTAGCTCTCTAATTGTAGGAACCAAGATAGGTGCATGACGGGCTAATTCACTGAACCTGCTAGCATATTTTGAAACTGTCATAGTGCCCTTACGCAACCGTTCAAACTCTATGCGCCACGTATCTCGAAGAGTCTGGGGAAAAAACTCTTTCAAAAAATATTTCCGAAAATTGAGCCCAAGTTGGTGGTATTGCATCGGCTGGTCTACCTTCTTCATAAACTTGCCACCACTGATACGCTGTGCCTGACAACTGAAATGTAGTAAAGGCAACTTCGCTCACTTTCACAATACCCATGGTGCGTAGAATACGATGACACTTTTCTAGAAATCCTTAGGCATCCTCTGAAACTGTGCCACTGAAAGTAGGTGGACGATACCTCTTAAACCTCTCATGTCTTTTTTGTTCTTCTTCTAATTCCCATGGCCTGACCTCAGGCTAAACTGGAATAACAGGTTATACCGGTACTACATCTGGAACCTGACCAATGTGAACCTGTTCCTCTAGAGTCATGATAGGAGTCTAAGCTACTCCCCCAATCTACGAAATATTTGGTGCAACAGAGATCAATCCTGCCTGAGTTAATGTACCAAACATACTCAGGAACTGTGCTAAAGTCTCCTGAAGTCCGGGGGTAACAACAGGTGCTTCTGGTACCTGTCCTCCAACTGGAGCTATTGGCGGCTCCTCAACTGTTGTTCTGACAGGTGCTCTAGTCGCGGCACATGCCCTTCCTCGGCCTCGACCTCTTGCGGCCCAAGAAAAATGTGCGGGTGCCTGGTAAGTTGACCCGGTAGCACGTACCCTCACCATCTGTGAGAGAATAGAGATACAAATGCTCAAATTCCAAATTCAACAAATTCCGCACGACGGGAATGAAAGAAGTGAAAATTTCCTAACAGTTCTGTAGCCTCTCGAAAATAAGTACAGACGTCTCTGTACCGATCTGCAAGACTCGTTCGTGACTCATAGAACCTATAAACCTAGAGCTCTGATACCAACTTATCACGACCCAAAATCCCACCACAAGCGTCGTGATGGCACTTAGTCTCTAAGACTAGGTAAGCCAATTACAATTATATTTCAAGCCTTTTTTTTAAAATTCAATACAGGTGCCAAAACCCAACAGCGAAAACAATTATGAAAACCTCCCAAGACTGGTAATACTGAGTCACAAACTCTAACTGAATATATGAAATGGTCTCAAGGATCGAATACTCAATACTGTTTGATTAATA